TAACACGAAACTACACTCACCTATTATCTAAAATAGTCAATCACTTACAATAACAAGCTTACCTACTATTTCCAATTCACTCACTGAATAAATCAATCAAGATTTTAATTATTTCAATCATAAATTAGTTTTCAACGTCTATACCCGTGCAAGTGTACAGCAATACAAGAACCGGAAACCCTTCCACGCACAACCAAATCGGTTTTAGTGGAACTCATCCTGCAGTTGTTTACTGTCTGATGTCCATTGTATTTTGTATTTTGAGATTACCAATAAATAGCGACAAAAAACCATCTTAGTTTAGTAACATCTCAAGCCATGCACAGTTAATGCAGTGTAAATATCAAACGCCACTAGAACAATAAGACGAAGGTTTCATAAGTGCAGTCCAGTCGCGTTGAAATCAAACAAGTACCAGGTACAATGGTTTTTGGGTCGGATCTTTCCTGCACCGACGCGAGACAATACATCGAAATCGATCTGAAAGCTGATACCGGCGTGGTATTAGCTTTCAGATCAATTTTTTTGATTACTGATTTGTTTTTGTAGATGATTATTTGATGCATAAACAGCTGTTTCAAGTCGAGTATACATGTTTCTCGGACTAGTATATTGGAGGAATAGTTGTTTTTTTGCCATAGATTATTTTTCAAAATTCATTTTTGAAGGACATCCAACTAATTCAAATGGGTTTAAACTGAGAATGGCGGCTAACAGTTGTTTTTTTTTTCTTTGAAAGTTGACACTCCTATGTCAAATCTTCAGCTATACAATTGACTTTCTATGTTTAGGTTCCCAGTATTCCCATTATTTCTGATTACAATATACAGTGCTTTTCAGATAAAAGTATCCACCTTTAATAACTTTTGTAATACTGGTATTTAGGAAAAATCCAAAAGCACGTCAATTTATGTTGGAAGGGGCAAGCATTATGGCTTATTCAAACTAACTGGAAAAGCCACCCCCTCACCCCTAGCATCATTCCTTTTTTTTATTACTTCTCATATTTTTTATGTAAAATTTGGATACTCCTCTTTGAGCTGATTTCAAAAATGTATAATACTTGTAGGTTAAAGTGGTTAGTTTATGAGATAAACAATTTTTCTTTTAATAGCACAAATTTTACTTATTTTTTACTTTCACCTTATTTGCCTGTACTA